GTAAATTTTATGTGCAAAGAGCCAGACAGCTAGTATTTTAGGCTCTAGAGACCCTATAGCCTCTGTCATAACTACTCAACTCTACTGTTACAGTGCCACAGCAGATGTATTAAATAAGTAAACCAATAACTATGGTTGTGATGCAATAAAACTTTTATTTATGGACAGTGATGTTTGAAATTCATATAACTTTTATGTTATAGAACATGAATCCTATTTTGATTTTTCTTTTACTATTTAAAAATATAAAAACCCTTCTTAGCTTGTATATAAGTATAAAAACAGGCAATACAAAAACCATTGTTTACCAACCCCTGCATTAGAAGGAGGCAGATACAAACAGCTACATGACATATAATTCCATTTATATGTCAAGAGACACTTACCAGAATTCCCTCCTTTCTTTCTTCCCTCTTTCTTACTTTATTTATTTATGATTTAGTAAGTTGAAGTTTAAAAGGGCTTGACACAACAGGTATTAAATAAGAACTGTTATTTTATTATAATCCTAAATCCCCTTTCCTCTTCCATCATTCTTTATAAATGGGTTAGTTATCTTTAAGGCACCAAAAATTAGCATAAAATGTAACAAACAAATTATGAATGGATTGAAAGGTAAATGTATAAAGTCTACAAAGACACATAAGCAAACATTACACTCATAGTAAGTAGGGTGGCAGAAGGATTCTTCTTCTTAGTCTAAACACTACTAAGTTTTTCTAGTTTTAAAAAATCTACGTAATTTTCAAAATGAAGGTCCACAATTCCTAGAGGCATAGTGGAATGTTTCACATCTTTGGCAAAATCACAGCAATACTTGACCTACAAGGAACACCAAGAACTTTAGCTGGAGGAGTTCAGTTTCAACATGAGATCACACCATCTCTTTTATCTCTTTTGATGGTGTCGACTCTCCGCCAAACTGGATCTCTCAGTGGCTGCTGTGATAAAGAGGAAGTATTACATGAAAACAACAAAGAACAAGAAATGTGGGTGGTAGTATCTAATCTGATTCTAAGGTTTGAGAAATTGTCCAGTGTGCAAAAGGCATACATATCCCATTAGTAAGGAACTGTAGTTATCAGAAAATGAAATGTTAAATTTTTTGGCCAGATGCAGTGGAACACACCTGTAATCAGCACTTTGGGAGGCTGAGACAGGAAGATCACTTAAGCCCAGGAGGTGGAGACAAACCCAGGCAACATAGTGAGATCTTGCCTCTACAAAAAATTTTCAAAAATTAGCCAGGTGTTGTAGAGCACACCTATAGTCCCAGCTACTCAGGAGGCTGAGGAAGGAGGATTGCTTGAGCCTGGGAGACTGAGGCTGCAGTGAGTCATGAGTACAACACTGCATTCTAGCCTGGGTGACAAAGCAACATCTTGTCTTCAAAAATGAAAAAAAAAAATTTTTTTTTCTTAAGCTTGTGTCATATGGCTACCAGGTTAGCACAGATACTTGTTGTTTAGATCTACTACTTGAAAAGGAACTGTTATATATTCATTTTGGTGTAGGACTCCATGAAAAAGTACTGAGATACAAGGTTGCCTTAAACCCAGAAAGTCTGAGAATCTCTGTTCCAGTCATATGCATACGCAAATATTTCCATTCAGTCATGATAATCAACACAATACTTTTCCTTGTACTTACCTCAGCATTTGGAGCAACTAAGGAAAATTCATGAGACAGATCAAGCTTAATGCCATCAAAATTTATTTCTGAAGGCCTTGCAATTGGGTCAGCACTAAAAACATAAGATGGTCGAGATACTCCCTCTTGATTAAAATTAGATTCCATTCTGCAAGAATAACAGCAACTTCTTTAACAACCTTAATAAGTCAGCATGTAAGCCACCCATACTTTTAAAAGTTTAGCCCACTGCTTCCCTCCAAATAACTAGATTTTAGAAAAGAAAACCATTACATTGCTTCATTTGTAACACAATGGCCTACAGAAAAGACAAAAGATCAAATTATATTTACATTCTCTGTATCTAATAATTCTAAACACAGCCTACTATTTTCATAGGATATCCATTCAAAGAGGTTTCATGAGTACAGGTAATCTGTAAAGATGGTATAAAATGTTTACTCTTTCCCTGAAATCCTCCCAAAACTCAAAGGAGATCACAGAGTAAATTATAACCTTATGTTATCTACTTAGTGACTCCTGTAGAATGTTACTTACAGACTTTCTTTTAGCATTTAAAAGTTAGATTCAGTTATCTGAAAAATTACTTTCAATTTCGAATTCAAGTAAAAAGTTAAACAATATATGTAAACACATTCAAAACAATACCTGACACATCACAGGTTTTAAGTTAAATAGGAATAATGCATCAGCAAATTACTACAATTGAATTACTAAACTCAAAGGTAAACTTAAAGATAATCTTAACTGAAAAATACTAACATTCTAGTATTTACTGAGAATCTACTAGGTGTACAGTTCTAGGGAGAGGGGGAAGACTCTTTGCTGTTTTTTGACAAGATTATAAAACATCCAGATCGGTGACTACCAAACTAAGATTCGTAGTTCAAGAAAGTAGTAATAATCACCACCCACAGGTATTATATAAAATGGACCAAAGATGGCCCTTATATAATGGACCCATATTGTATATTTCTTCACAGTTGGTAGGGACCTTCGCTCAAAAGCCCACTGGATCAAGGACCACAAATGTTTAAAACAAAAACTTAAAAGCCTGCTGGGGTGCCAAATTCTAATTCTGAAGCATTCCTCTGCTTTCAGTACAGCCCAAAATAAGTATATTTTTAGACATTTAGAGCCTGCTAGGTTTGAATGCTCCATGAAATTGCACCCAACATTCGCCAGACATACAAAACCTGGGACTATCAAGGCCACTGCTGCCCTTGAGAGTTCTATGATCCAGAGACTCTCCACTGTGCAACACCACTTAGACATTTAAGCCCCTCTATGATTCTTTTCTGTACCTCGGCCCATCCCCCTTTCCCTCTTTCCCTTTTGGATGGTGGCCCCTCACCCTGGTCTAGAAAAGGTCCCATACTGAGAGGGATTTCCTTTGCCTATAATCCTGTCAAAGCCCTGCCTAAATAAAGTTCCTTGTTTACTCCTGCCACCTTGCTATCATCTTTTTCCTTGATCAGGTGGAAATTCACAAACTTATCACAAGAACATGGTTGGATTTTTTTCCCCTCAACTGCAAAAGGACTAAGGAAAGCACTGATCTAGATCACGGCTGGGGGCGGGGAGGTTTGCAAAATGCTAAAGTACCAGCTTGACATTTTGACATTTCATGCCACAAAGTTCATGGAAATTCCCAGAAAATTAAAAACCATCTGTGGCTTCAAATAATAATTTTTGGTTTAAAGAAAATTGTTGATAAATCTTTTAAATTGCTGAATTAAAAAGAACATTCCTATGTATTAAAAGCAGTTATAATAAAGAAGTATTTGTTCATACGTTCATTTTTCAATGAACAAACTATTTCTTAGCATTTCTAAAACTGTTGAGATATACTGGTAACTTCTTGCAATTTTAAATGACTTCTACTTATACATGGGCTTCCCAACTAAACTGGTAACTTGTTGATGCCAAGAACCTTGTCTTATACCATTCTGTATCCCCTACAACAAATTCAATGACTTGACTATGACTTAAAATAATGGTTATAAAGAAAATACTCTCTACAAAAAAAAAAAAAAAAAAAAATCCTAGTCTGTAATATTATCTTTTGCGACAGCAGACTTCAAGAACTCATTTCTCATTTCATTTCTGCTCTGACTGGAAAACTGCATCTTTATTTATCTTCTCTCCAACAAGAATCCACAATTGGAGACTTTGGTGAAAAATAGCAGAATCTGCCACTGAATGAGGTTTCTGAATGTGATCCACAACACACAGCCTCAAAAGTAGTCTTCACAACTAAGTGATGAATATTTTATGCTATTTTGCAATTTAAAATCTGGAGTCGTGGACCTGTAATAAAATACATACACTGTTACACTACCTAACCCATAAGGCATGAACTTGTGTCAACCAGTACTTTAGCAAGGAATATCAGAGAACTGTGCCAGACAGGCATCACTGAACCAGGGAGTGAATCGAAATGGAGAAAGCCTTCTAAACTGGGGGTCACAGCAGTCACTGTGCCACAAACTCTTCAGCCTGGCACTGCAAAACCCTAGAAGGGCAAGCCCCAAGCACCAGGAGTCTGGAAATAAGTGCACAGAGGCCACCACAGGGCTTCCCCCGCAAAAAAAGGCCGTTGTTACCGACCAGCCGAACAAACTGCCCTCCTCAGAGCTTCAGAAAACTAGATGCGGCAAAAGAGGCCTGTTTCTCAACAACAGAAGCAACAATACTAATGACTGCAAACATTTAGGACTATTGTGTGCCAGCACTAACAACTTTACACATTACCATTTCATCTTCAAGAAAGCCGAAAGAAGTAGATACTTTATTGCCGCCTTTTAACCAATTAAGAAAAACTAAGGTACAGAGAGACATTAAATTAATTGTCTTGCGTCACTCAGCTAATAAGCAGTGGAGGCGAGATTTAAATCCTAACCGAACTAGTATGACTCAGTCCTTGCTGCGTACCCGGTGTTCCCGTCGGTCCGCAACCCAGTTCCTGAGAGTAATCCCACGGGGGTACGAGGTTACTGTCGGAAGATGTCCACGCTGCTAAAGCCGTTTCCCCATCTTAGGCCCCATATATGCGCAGTCACCCACCTCCTCTCCACCCCTCGCTTCTTCCCCGCCAGTTCACCTCATCACCTGCAAAAGTCGCCTGTCTAGCCCGACCCGCGAGCAGCACGGAGAGGATACCGTTTTCAAATTCAAACAATGGCGGCCACGGCACCGCACTGAACGCTGGGAGTGGGTGGGGCTTCGGAGCGCCGCCCGAGAGCCCAGCCCGCTCGCGCGGCGGGCTTTCCAGTGGCTCCGGGAAGAAGCTTTCGAATACGGGGCGGGTCCTGAAACGCGGGCAGCCAATGGGCGAAGGAAGTCTCGATTGCCGACAAGCTCGGCTCGCCGAGCTAATGGGTCGCTTTCTCGCGGCTGTTACTAAGTACCGCACTGTTGACTGACACACGGATCTCTGATTTTGTGTCGAGGCAATGAAGATATGACAAAGGCCGGAGGTGAGGCCGCTGCCACGGCACTTAGTCCTGCGACTCCCCTACGGACGGGCTGAGGTGGCCGGCTAGCCACTTCCCAGTCCTGTCCCTACGGGGCCAAAAAAGGCCCCGCATCCCGGGATCCCGAGGGTCGCTTCCCTCGCTGCGTCCCCGTTTTGCGGCTGCCGGTCTAAAAATTGATGTAAGTAAGCTTATGAATGCAAGATGCTAAAACAAACATTAACTGAAAGGTTGTCAGAGCAGAGGATGTTAGTATCTCAAAGAATCACCATACCGGTCATTGCTTATTATAAAGGGAAAATACAATTTTACAGTGAAGACATTTATTAGACATACCTTAATCAAGTGAAGATACTTAACATCACTAATGTTACCTAATACTATTTGTGCTAGAAATTTTTTTTTTTTTTTTTTGAGACGGAGTTTCGCTCTTGTTACCCAGGCTGGAGTGCAATGGCACGATCTCGGCTCACCGCAACCTCCGCCTCCTGGGTTCAGGCAATTCTCCTGCCTCAGCCTCCTGAGTAGCTGGGATTACAGGCACGCGCCACCATGCCCAGCTAATTTTTTGTATTTTAGTAGAGACGGGGTTTCACCATGTTGACCAGGATGGTCTCGATCTCTTGACCTCGTGATCCACCCGCCTCGGCCTCCCAGAGTGCTGGGATTACAGGCTTGAGCCACCGTGCCCGGCTTGTGCTAGAAATTTTTGACATGATTTTAATCATGAAGAAACAATCAGGAAAAAAAGCAGTGTAGAATATTCTACAAAACAGGCCTAGGCTCTTCCTCAGAAGTGTCAGGGTCATGACAGGAAAAAGAAAAAACCCAAGTGGAGGGTTGCTTTTGTCGAGAGGCAAAAGAAACCAAATGAAATTTGTGAATCTTGGTTGGTTCATAGATGTTTACTTTTGTTTCCTTTTTTTTTTTGAGACTGAGTTTTGCTCTTGTCGTTCAGTTGGAGTGCAATGGTGCAATCTCGGCTCACTGCAACCTCCGCCTCCTAGTTTCAAGCCATTCTCCTGCCTTAGCCTCCCAAGTAGCTGGGATTACGAGTGGCTGCCACCACCCTCAACTAATTTTTTTTTGTACTCTTAGTAGAGATGGGGTTTTACCACGTTGGCCAGGCTGGTTTCGAACTGCTGACCTCAGGTGATCCACCCGCCTTGGCCTCCCAAAGTGCTGGGATAACAAGTGTGAGACACCACGCCCGATCAGAATTTTTTTTTTTTTTAAAGTAACTGGGGAAAGATGTTTGTAGACAATTGGGGAAATTCAAATATGAACTATATATTAGTTGATACTGAATCAGTTTTAAATTGATTGTACATGAGAATGAATCTGTGATCAAGTGGAAGAATGCCTTTGTTTTTGGAAGGAGCTTGCTGAAGTAATTAGCAGCAGTGTTACAGTGTTTGCAGCTTACCTTCAAAAGATATGGAAAAAAATAAAATACAGAAAGCAAATGTGGCAAAATATTAGTAACTGGTGAATCTAGGTGAAGGGTATAATGGTGTATGTCGTACCAATCTTACAACTTTTTAAAATAACTTTGAGATTTTCTAAAATAAAAAGAGGAGGGGGAAAAAAGCAATAAAGTTCTGATCTTCATGACCTCCCAGGCCCTGCACAATCAGGGCTGAGCTCACTCCCCACTAACTGTGCAGTGAGTTGATCTGCTCTGGATACCTCAAACACCAGCTTCTTTCCTGCATGTATGAACCTTTGCACAATTTGTTCCCTCTACCTGAATTCTCTCTTCCCCATTCAACATGTGGCACTTCCCTTCATCCTTTAAATTACATCTAAAATAGTACCTTCTTAAAGAAGACTTTCCTGACTACTGTATGGCAAGTGAGCCCTCTTTTTTTGTTTGCTGGTTCAATTTCATTTTTATACTTTTTACAACTAGCAATTGTTGTTGTTCCCCTAACCCCTAAAATGTAAGTTCTGTGAGTATAGGAACTGTATTTTGCTTTGTCACTAATGTATACTCAGTGACTCTATAAACACAAGACAAGCAAATCAATATTTGTTGAACAATGAATGAAGGCTGATACGGCTGGATAGAAACCATGGGGAGGAGTAGAGGAGAGTGATTTTAGAGGCATGGGCCAAGGCCAGACCCTGTAAGTCTTAGCCAAGTTACTGACTTGAGTATTATGAAATGCTTACTGGATAACCGGTTTTAAGCATGGGCATGGTACATCCAATGTCCATCTATCTTTTGAAAAGGTTAATCTCTTGGAGAAAGTAAAGGCAGTCAAGGAGGAGGCTACTGAACCAGTCAGGAGACTGTTGCAAGAGATCCCAGCAAAAGATAATGTGGACTTGGGAGATGGCAGAAGAGCTGCAGAAAAGTGTCCAGATTTCAGAAATATTTTTTCCTACATTTTTCATTTCAGCACCAGCCACTGGGTTTTCCCGTAGAGATGCAGAGCCAGCTTGTCTGGGAAGTGCTTAAGATTTAGTGCCTATTCCAAAGAATTCCATCTGTGCCCTTGAAATGAATATTAACATAAAATGAAAAATTTAGTAAGTTATATCAAGCTGATTTTCTGCCCTAGCCACAGTCTCAACTGTTACTAATAGCTAACTTTCTATATACAAGCTAGTATTCTTAGCATTTTATACTCATTTAATCCTAACAGTATCTCTGTGAGGTAATTTGTTGTTGTTATCCCCAATTAATAGAAGAGAAAACTGAGGCATGGAGCTAGTAAAAAAATAGTAAAGGTATCTACTAAATAGAAGTGTTGAAGATTAAAGCAGGTAATAGTGTATTTATAAAAATATCTGGCACATGTTAAATAATAACTTGCTTAAATTTATATAACTAATAAACAGGGAGACTGGAATTTGAATCTGGATGATCTGGCCCCAGAGTATGTGCGTTCTTTTGCCTCTCAAAGTTTGGATCCAACACCCTTGGAGTTAAGGAAAAAAACTAAGTGCATAACTGCTACTGCAAAGCCATCTTCGAAAGCAAGACTAACACAGCTCACTTTTCAACCCCCAAAATAATACTTTTGAATATGTATTAATTACAAAGGTTTAAATAACAAGTCTAACAAAAATGTATCAACCACCCACTAAGTGTCAGATGTCTCTACCCTTAAAAGGCCTTCCATCCAAAGCAGCCCTTCTCCACCTGGGATTTTTAAGAGACAATCCCTAATGCCTTTCAGCACCCATTGTTTGTAATGTATTAACTTCTAGAATAGCACTAGTTCTGCACCATCCTGAGAAAACAGTCAAATAATTTTTTTATCCCCTGTGGTTCATATGGGGAAATCCATATGCAAAGAATTTCAAAACATGACAAATGCTGTAATAGAAATGAATAAGGAAAAATGGAGCAGAGTGAACATAGCTTAAAAGTAGTGGCTGCGAAGTCAGACAGACTTGAAATTGAGTATAAGCCCAGCACTTATAGGGCTCATAAAATTGTTGTAAGGATTAAAAATAGCATTTGTAAGTTATTTAGTATTATCCTGGCACATAGTAGGTTTTATAATGGTAGTAATATTTATTAAATCTGTTTATTAAGTCACTAGAATACAAACCGTCTTGGTTCTCTATAGTCCCCACATTTAAAACCGTGCCTTGCACACAAGTACTCAATAAATACTTTTTGATGTAATAAGGGATGTCTACTAGGGAAGATTTTTTAATGTAGCATGTAGGCTGAAGAAAATATTGGGATTTGCTAGTGAATTGCAAGAGGAGGCCACTCCACGCCATGGAAAGCTATGAAACAATGACAAAAAGGACAAGAGTTCATGAAAGATTCCCAAAACTAAATACCTATTTCAGCATGACTGTGAACATATGGCAGGACATAAAAAAAATAGGCAGAGGCTAGATCATAAGGGGCCCTGTAACGTGCTAAAGAAGAGCTAGAATTATATTCTGTAAGGCCTAGGTTTTGCCCAGCAGAGTTATGGAAGGAAGAGTGTAGTAAGAGAAGAAACAAGATAGATTGAGTCTATGTCTATAATACCAAAATCTTACAAAGTGAAAGTCAAGAAATTACACAACAGGATGTAGAAGTTTAAGCATATCATTTCAGTGTGCAAAGGTAACCAGAACAAGAAAAAATATAAGTAACTCTCTAAAGCTAAGTGTTTATCTGTCTTTGTAGGAAGTAAATAGATATCTGTTATTGATACATAAAGAAATAACATTAGGAGGAGCATATCATTTAAAGGTGGGTATAGTAATTGCCAGAAATATTAAAAATAAATTACAAGAATAGTTGCCTCTGGAAAGCAGGCCTGGAGATGTAAAAGGATGAGATTCTTTTATTATAGTTTTGAATTTGTAATAAACTTTTTTTTTTTTTTAATTTGTCCTGACTAGGCTTAGTGGCTCATGCCTGTAATCCCAGCATTTTGAAAGCTGAGGTAGTAGGATTGCTTGAGCCCAGGAGTTCAAGACCAGCCTGGAAAACATGGCAAAGCCACATCTCTACCAAAAATGCAGAAGTTAGCAGGGCGTTGTGGTATGCACTTGTAGTCCCAACTACTTGGGAGGCTGAGGTGGGATGATGGTTTGAGCCTGGGAGATGAAGGTTGCAGTGAGCCAAGATCATTTCATTGCACTCCAGCCTGGGCAACATAGAGCATGTCTCAAAAAAATAAAAATTTAATGTGTCAGAAAAAAAAGCATTTCCAGTTAATCATTTACTGTGTATTAGGCTATGATATACCATTTCCTCCATAGTGAGTGAATCTGACAGATTTTTCTGGCTTGTAATTTGCATGTAGAAAGTTTTCCCAAATGTAAGTTATGGTGGTGTTTTTTCTTCAGAGCCAGCTTGACTAGCTTTAGCCTCAGGAAAAAGGCAGTAAAAAAAAAAAAAGTTAGCTGTAAGACAGCCTCAAACAGGTCCTTTAGGAGTTATTCTAGAAGAAGGCATTGTTATCATAGGAGAAGATAGCTTCAATTGTGTTACTGCCCCTGAAAACCTTCCAGTGGAACAAGATATGAATGTGGAAGACAGTGATATTGATGATCTTAGCCCTGTGTAGGCCTAGGCCAATGTGTGGACATCTTAGTTTTTAATAAAAATATGTATATATTTTTAAGTAAAAAAAAAATCAAAAAGCCCAAAAGGGAAACACTGTGGGGCTGGGCTGCACAACAGTCACACAGTGCACTTTTTTGCAGGGATAGCCC